GAGTTTAGAAACTTTGCAACTTATCTTATTTTCTTATCATCTCATCTCATCTCATCTCATCTCATCTCATCTCATCTCATCTCATATCTCATCTCTTAAAGTGCAAACAGAGCTGGCTTGGCCAAGAACCTAGATTAGCTAAAAAGATGAGTAACGTAGCTTGGGCTTTGCCAGAGTGCATGGACCTTACCCTAGCTTTAGAAACCTTAAGCCAGAAGGTGGTTTGTTCATTGGGGCATGGCCTGATCTATAAATATAGCAGTTACGATTTGCAAAGGCAGGCTAGGTTTTGGGCTTCGGATAAACCCAGCCTTTTGGCTTCTTACGAGGACATTGGTACAATCCCGCCGGCCGAGTCCTAATCTGCACCCCGCTTGGAAACCCCCAAATTTGCAATCTCTTGTCCTTCCCATCCGGCAGGAGAAAGCAGGACTGTGCAACTCTGTTGTACCGCTGGAAAATCAAAATTGCAGACAGACGCTCTGAAATCCCCCATCCGATCTCCAATTCGGCAGACGTTTCCAGACCGAGCTGAACAAGGACAGCCTTGCAAAGCGAACAGAGCCGTTCCAGCCTGGCGTGCTGTCGTTTTTGTCTAGGTCTGCATAAAATCATGCTGAAAACGAAAAAAAAAAAAGGTGGGGGGGAGTAGAGGGGGAGAACAGGGCTGTTTTCCAACAGCGTCCCGCGAAAAAGCAGGAGGGGAACGTCCCCCTCATGGAACTGCTCCAACCGTCTGGAATTTGCACCCCAGGGTGGGAGAAAAGAAGAGGATTGTGTAGCTACACAAAGCATTCTTTTGATTGCAAATGTCAGCACTTCTCGATCATTCAGCATGTTCTGCACCCTGCTTCAGGCGTGGCTGAGGACCACGGCTGGTTTTTATGGGAGGAATTGCCCGCTTCCCACATGGAGGGGTGAGAAGGCAGGAGTGATGGAGAAATATGCAGAGATCCAGGGTATCTATGGTGGAAAAAGTATATTTTTCCACCAGAACAATGAGGCTTTCTCACCTTCCGCCATGCGCTCGGGAGCCCACGGAGGTCCACACCGCCACCTCTGGGTGGATTGTCACGAACAGAGGACACATATACAGTGACCCTATTTTCTTGGACAAAAAATAAAGGACCAGCCTGAAAAGGGGTCAGCTCTGAAGGAGGTTCACAAGGATCCAAACATTTCATTGCTGAAGTTTGGAACTTGGCTTTCCAAAGGAAAATTCACAAGCCAAACCAAGACGAAGCATCCCAAAACGCGTATTCTAATCAAAAGACCTGAAATCAGACAGTAGAGGTCAGGTCAATTTCCACATTTTTCAAAAGACAGGTCAATTTCCACATTTTTCACATGAATGTGAAAGACTGGGCCTGGAGGGGGGCTATTCCACGGCCAAAGTGAAATGACCCAAACGAAGTTGAAAAGTGAGTTTGGGGAAAATCAATCGATCTAAAAGATTCTGAAATAAAAGGACTGTTTATAATAAAGGACATATGGTCACCGAAGGCATATGGCACGCCTGGACATCTTTCCAGTGTATTTCGAACAATTTTTTTCTTTTAAATGGTATCTATCTGTAGGTAATGATCACTGATGAGTGTGGATATATAAACACGCTTCTTTCAGGATGATGCGTTATATGTTTGGGGCTTCACAAAAACTTACGTGAGAAGGACTTGAGTCGTTAAAACAGTGTTTCTCAACCTTGGCAGCGTGGAGATGGGTGGACTTCCACTCCCAGAATTCCCCAGCAACACTGCACTCAAAGATAAAACACGAGATGTTAAGAGTTGCCCAACGGTGGGACTGTCTTCCCCCCGAGGTTGGGGGTTCCCTCTCTGTGGAGGTTTTTAAGAAGGGGCTGGATAGCCGCTGCTCAAGGATGACTTAATTGCTTTTCCTGCACGGTGCAGAGGGTCAGACTAGATGGCCCTTGGGGATCCCTTTCCACACTATAATTCTTTGTGGGAGCCGTTTTGCACAAGCCGGCTCCAAATGTCCAGTTTTTTCGTCCTTCCACATCCCACAGGGAAAGCGCCAAGTCTTTCTTTTCGGTTGGCATGACTTTCTTTTCACTCTCCGTTCCCTTTCGCGCCGAGGGTCCCCGGGGCTGAAATTACATCCTGCCCATTAAAGAGATCTTGAAAATTGCCCATGAAGCAGGACCAGCAGAGATGGCAAAATGGACTTGCTCGCTTAGAGAAAGATCAGCTACCGCATGTATTAGTGACTGGCAGCTCCTTATGGACTTTCGGCTGAAAAAAGATTGGTTTTGGTCTTTGCGACCCATTTAACTTGTATTTTCAAACGCTCTTTGTTAGCACCATGATACTGAACTGTCCGTTAACCACCTGGGCTGGGTTTGCACAACGTGGACTGTTCGGGTTAACCTAAACTCACCTGGTTAAGCCTGTTAGGAGGACTTGCCCTTTTGGGGAATGGGGGCAGAAGCTTTATGGAAAATGATCAGGGACCCCCGACTCATGGTTTCTCCCCCTCTCCTTTTGCAGTGCTGACTCCAACTCTGGCCATCAAAGTTTACACAGCGAACGAGATCCACGGCACGGTGGGATCTAAAATTAAGCTCTCCTGCTCTTTCTGGTCCAACGAGTGGATCTCCGATGACATCTCCATCACTTGGCACTTTCAGCCGGAACGTGGAAAGGACAGCATTTCGGTAAAAAGGGGGGGGGGTAATTATATAGATTTGTCCAGTGCAGGGAAGCTAGGCCGTTCTGCCTCAACCCCGATAGGATTTCACTCGGTGGGGTAGACGCCGATGAGGGAATGTGCGGTTCAGGGCCTCCAAGTGGTTTAAAAATTGCTTTCCCCTGTAGCTAGGGTAGGACGGGGTGGACACTTTTCCAGATTTGCCAGAAGGGATAATGGGAGAGGCTTCATGGACCCAAAAATATGACTGAAGACTGCGTCAAGTAGATCTAAAGAGGGATTTAAGCGCAGATGGATAGGGATCTAAGGGATCTAAGCACAGATGGATAGGGTCTATGGGATCCAAGTGCAGATGGATAGGATCTAAGGGATCTAAGTGCAGGTGAATAGGATCTAAGGGATCTAAGTGTAGGTGGATAGGGTTCCAAGTGCAGATGGATAGGATCTAAGGGATCTAAGTGCAGGTGGATGGGGATTTAAGGGATCTAAGTGCAGGTGGATAGGGATTTAAGGGATCTAAGGGCAGGTGGATAGGGATCTAAAGGATCTAAGTGCAGGTGGATGGGGATTTAAGGGATCTAAGGGCAGGTGGATAGGGATCTAAGGGATCTAGGTGCAGATGGATAGGGATCTAAGGGATCTAAGGGCAGGTGGATGGGGATCTAAGGGATCTAAGCACAGATGGATAGGGATCTAAGGGATCTAAGGGCAGGTGGCTAGATGACTCTTCACCCGTCTATACAACCCAGCCCCCACTGACCCTCATTATAGATACAGTAGAACTTGCTGCAAGGGGAGGGGCTTCAATATGGTAGGAGGAGCTACAATATTCTGGTTGCCAAAACAGAGATGGCCACGGGGGGGGGGGCAGGACAAAAAAAGATCTCTGGTCTCTTGGCTGCCCCTTGTGGTCCCATCGATGCTGCACTCCTGATCTGATCCTCCTCCTCAGCCAGGCAGGGGCAGTTTCCCTCCTAGCCCAACCGCTTCTTCTGCTCTTCTTCGACCCAGATATTTCATTACGCCAAAGGCCAGCACTACATCGACAACGTTGGGTCCTTCAAGGAGCGCATTGAGTGGATCGGGGACCCTCACTGGAAAGACGGCTCCATTATCATCCACGACCTGGAATACACCGACAACGGGACCTACACTTGTGACGTCAAAAACCCGCCGGACATTGTAGGGAGAACGTCGCAAGTCACGCTCTACGTCTTTGAGAACGGCAAGTGGAAATTTGTTAGGGGGTTACTGTGATTTCCCCATGCCTGATCAATGTGATGCCACAACCTTTGGAGTGTAGTGGGGAGAGCCAGTTCCAGTCTCCCCCCGACATGGAGGCTTCCTGGGTGACTTTAGGCCAGTCCCTTTCTCTCGGCCCAACCTACCTTACAGGGTTGTTGTTATGGGGGAAAGTAGGAGGAAGAAGACCACGTGCGTGGCCTTGAGCTCCTGTCCAAAACAAGCGGCTGCTCCTGGTCAATCCCTTTCCCTAATTTCTTCCCTCTATATCGTAAGTCAATGCCACCTTCTCGCCTTGGGTTTCCAGCCCATTGAACTCAGTGGACCCGGTTCAGGGTTTCTGTGGGGAAAGTCCAACCTTTGGGGTGATGTTTGAATGGGTGGCTTGAATGAAAATGATTGAGTTGAAGCCAGGCTGCTGAGCAACCCAGTTTGAGATGTTGCACATTTTAATAACATTTTCTTCTCCCTCTCCTTCTCCTTCTCCTTCTCCTTCTCCTTCTCCTTCTCCTTCTCCTTCTCCTTCTCCTTCTCCTTCTTCTCCATCTTCTCCTTCTCCTTCTCCTTCTTCTCCATCTTCTCCTTCTCCTTCTCCTTCT